TACCAACCAGGACTTCAACGGGATGAGCGGATGGAAAGGGTAGCATGTAGAGATAAGGATTCCCGGACAAGCCCCATGTTCTAGCTTCTGGTTAGCTAGGAATGGAGGCATGGACCTTTATAGCAGTCCCTATAAAACCCACTATAGTAGGTTCCATATTCTTTTCCATTCCTTCATTCCCAACTAACCAAAGGCCAGTGTTCAGAAGAAGCAGGCATCCTTCGAAGGTGGGGCGCTACAAAAGTAAATGGAGGAAGCTCTAGACAGCCGGGGGCAGGGAGGAGTGTTGATCTAGTCAGGCCTCTGATTTTTCATAGTCTATGCACGTCTGACGCAAGTTTCTACGTCGCCTTGTCTTATGGGCATCAAGGTGATCCTTACGTATACAGATGCTCAACATTAGTGACTGCCATTGTGCCGCTAAGCCCACGAATCCCAAATCTCACCTTGCGCACGCCTTGGGCCAAATCACTGCCACGCATGACCCAACCGGACCCATCCAAAGATGCCCCATCCAAAGGTACAAAGACTTCAACTCCTCCTTTTGCTGTTTGGCCAGGATCGGACCTGGACTGCGTGGATCAACGAGGCCTAAGCGCGATTGCATGCTCAAGTAGATGGTTTTTCTGGGCATGACAAAGTTACCGTGATGTTGCGCCCTCTCCATGTTTTTTTCAGAAAGATTCTAGCCTTGAAGATGTTTTTGCATCTAGATGGCTACAATGTCCGCGTCCATACAAAACCGCCATGAATGTCAAGGCTTATCATGTAGCTTGTCATGCTCTGGCACAAAACAAAGAGCCCCATCAATTTGGATGCGGTCCGTGGGTAGACTGAAGCTGAATTGCCTCCAGCGCTACTTCTTTTCAGTAGTGTGTGCCGGAGAAGTGGGTCGGGTTCCACCGCCCAAGTTGAAAACGTTGATGTCTTGCCCTTGGAGCTTGGGACGCGAAGTTCTAAATCCTTGAGGCCCAAAGGCGGAGCTTGGTGCAAGACTCTGAGAAAAGAGGATGCAAATACTAATCCCCTTGCAGCGTTACATGAGCTACAGTCAGCTACAGCCCCAGCTCTTGAAAACATGAAAAGTCTCATTGCATGTACATGATTTGAGCGCACTTTGAGCCAGACAATTTGTCGACCGCATGCCTGACCAGCACGTTTTTGAGGGGCTGGTTTCCCTGCCTCTGTTTCAGGCACAAGGAGGGGAGGGCTTTCGATATTTTCGCAGCAAGCCAAGCTTCAGAGCCTCATAGGGGTGATGAGCCCAACGATTTCGGAAAGATCCCAAAAAATTCCCCTTAACCCTTAACCCTAAACCCTAAACCCTAAACCCTAAAGAAATTCCTTCAACCGCAAATCCTAAGCCCAGCATGCTGCAGGAAGAGCACCTCAAGCTCATGGCGGATCGCCTCATGGCTGCCCATGATCCAGTTGCAAGCTCTCTTTGTGGGATGTATAGGGAAATACATACATACATACATACAGACATACATACATAAAGATATATGTGGGGATTTGTAGGGATGGATGGGGGTACAAAAGGTCGGGATATGTAGGCGTATGTTGAGTGGGTATGTATCAGAATTCTGGCTTCTCATCGGCGCTGGAAAATCACGTGCAACAGCCAATGGAACAAGAATTGGAAACTGGGGGTTTGTAGGGGTATGTGGGTTCTAGGTTTGGGCAAAGCCTTTTTGGTTGGCAATGAAGGAATGGAACATAGAATGGCAATTATCAAATTGATGGGGATTACGTATACGCGGACTACTACAGGGATCCATTCCTCCATTCTCTACTTTCAGAAAGTAAAATGTGTGGGTATGTGTCATAATTGGGACCTGCTATACCCCAACAGCGAGGTTTGAAATGGGAACCCCCAAATGGATGTTTGTCAAAATTATGGTCCCTTTTTAGATCCCTATTATAATACGGCACCTAATATTTAGGGTACCCAAAAAGGGACCATAATTTTGACAACCACCCAAATGGGATCGTACTTCTGGCGCAACCCCCACCCTGTGGGTCTCAGGCGAGAAGCGTGGGTTGCAGAATCGGCCCTAGGACCCTACAGCACCTAGACCTTGAAAAGCCGACGGGTCAGAAGCAGCTGCCAGTTCCCATGCAGAAGTTGACTGCAATATCTCCCAGTATTTGCGATCCCTTTCACACTAGTCTGTCCTGAGAATCAATCCTGCATTTCCCCTGGATATAGAGTCTCGAATTCGCCCCGCTCCCGCAAACACAGCCCCTTCCCAATGCCCTGCTCAGCGAACTTCGAAAGCAGATTGAAGCGTGCAGTGATTGTGTTATAGCTAAGGGAAAAGACAATGGAAGCTACTATTATATATTGGGGTTATATCGGGATAATGGAATAGAGAATGGAGACCACAGAGATTATCGGGGTTATCCTGGATGCCCCAAAAAATCTCCGCAAAGGCTGTATGGTATTTGAACGATCAGCGCAGCCTGACCCTGCAATCCTGTATCCTCACTTGATGTAGCCATCCAGACCCGTGCCCAGTAGCAGTACAGGGTACTGCATTGGAGGTTGTCCTTTCTAGAAACCCTAAACCCGTTGTCCTTTCTAGATCTTCCCAGAGGTCTGGGTAGGATCCTCACGCGAACCCTTATGTGGTAGTTTCCACCAAAAGGGGCCTCCATAGCCATATGAACTATAGTCTGAACTCCTTAAATGGGGGTTATGTAGGGGATTATATAGGGGACTACTACAGGGGTTATTAAGGGGGATACTAGGAGTTTAGACTATAGCTCATATGAACCTGCCCCGAAAAGGGACTCCAATCTTTTGCAAGCCTCCATATTGTAGTTTCCCACCATATGGGGAGCCCAATATCGGCCCCAAAATACTATAACCCTTATTATAAGGACCTTCCGAGTGGTGCCCATAATTTCGGGAAACCCCCCTAAACCCTAAACCCTACGCCATAATTTTGAGAAACCCTCAACCCTAAACCCTAAACCCATCTTGAGAACTTACCCAATTCCAGGTCAGGACGGTCAGGTCTGTCAGATGCTTGCAGACATGGTGCTTCCCGCCTTGCTTCTAGGGGTTTCCCAAAATTAGGGGGTTTAGGGTTGGGGGGGGGGGGGTACGTATAATAAGGATTATAGACTGATTATGGTATTTTGGGGTCAATGTTGGGTCCCCCTCTTTAGGCCAACTACCTTCTGTGCCAGTGGAGTGACTGAGTCTTTTAGCCTGGGGGCCCTGCCTTCGGGGTAAAGAGGTATATGGGGATCGTAAAGGGATTATTAGGTTTTCTGGTGGTGATTATAATGGAATTCAACCCAAGTGAGAGCGGGGCTGAAGGGAGCTTGGGATTCCTGTTGAGTAGGTTGAAGACATCCCTATTAGTAGCCCCAATCATGACGTAATCCCTACAGTAGCCTCAAGTAATGTAGTAATCCTTATACTAGCCCCGAAAGGTGTAGTTTCCATTTTCTTTTCCATTCCTCAGCCTTCCCACCTGTGAGCATAAGTGCTCATTCGTAGAGCAGCTTTTCCGCAAGTGACATCAGTTCCGCTTTGACCATGTGCTTTTTTGCTGAGCCCAGGCCGTTTCGCTAGTCGAACTACATGGGAGTTTAATGCTGAAGTGAACTCAGGCAGACCTTCTCCCTGGCGTTGTTGTGTAAGATGGCAGCTGGATCCTTCCGCATTCTTGGTTGAAAGAGCGCGCAAGTACAGCACAGACTCCTACATTAAGTCCCGGCACTCACTGCGCTGCAAGGCGGATGGGTGTTTAAGGTGTGGCCGCGCGATCTCAGTGCATTTTGTGAGGCATCTTCTTCATAGGTTGACAGAGGCGGCCAAGCCTTGTTTTGCACAGATGTGTAGTTTCCTTGAATAGGGCTACCTAATATAGACCCCAAAATACTATAGCCCTTATTGTAGGGACCCCACAAGAAGCTAAACCCTACACCCTACATACCCCCTATATTTAGCCCCTATATCCCCGCTTTAAAGGTAGCCACGATTTTAAGAAACCCCCATGAAACCAAGCGCGGCCGCCAGGTGCCGTTGCTCTCCGTGCTGGAGCGTCTTTCTGGCGGCTTCGCGAAGAGCGACCGCCTAGGCATCTCTACAAGTGGAAATACAGATCCAAAGAGAATATAGGGTATAGTCCCTGGGGGTTATATAGGGAGAATGGAAAAGAAAATGGAAAGCACTATTTAAGGTTTAGGGTTTATAGTCTCCCTTCAGTAGATGCTTGGGGTATGTTATAATGAGATCCCCATATACCCCATATTCTATCTACTTAGCGTGACCATATACACACATACAAATGTATGTTGTGTATTTATCTGGGATTAAATAAGCTTACGTGGAAGATGAATGAAGATGAATTGAAACCTGCCCGTCTACAGGCATATGCATGGTCTAGTAAGTGCTTATGGAAGCAGGTGAAGCATGTGTGGTTCAGCTTTGCAGACACGTGAATTGGATCCCCCCCCCTTCGCTGCGACATCCTTGGGAGGTTATTTGAACTCCTCACCAAGCAACATTGGGACAGCCATGACTGCCAGCATGGTAGTCCGACTGCCCCTGCTCAAGAGCATGAAGAAGGCCGCTGCATGTAGAAAGCAGGGTGAGGGATGGTTTGGGTTGAGGGTCCTGCCACGTCTTATCTTCGAAGCATATGACATGACTTGTTTGGTGATAGTCTTCAGGCGCATTCATTTGCGATTGGGTCAGGTGGGTGCTCACCTCATGATGCAATTGCTAGAGTCTTTTGACGATTTTGGGGTTGAATCCGTCGCGTACCGAAAGCTGGATCGAGACCAGTCCAGGCCATATGCGCATGCTGAGCTAGAATTATTTGGAAAATAGGCAAGGGCTTGTAAAACGTGAGTTGCTTTCCAACACTTTGTGACGTGGAGGGGAACCGTGCCTCGGAGCCATAACCTGAAGACGTGAAAGAGCTTGATTCAGCCCTGCATGGCCTAGCAGAAGCTGCGAATCCAGGTGCGAAACTGCAATGACAGACCTTCAAGCCCTGGTAGCAAGCATGCGTTATGTTTTCCCAATCAGGGTCTCAGAGTCTCACCCGCACCAGGAGCTCGGCAACTGGTGCAAGTCGAAGGACTTGGTCGCAAGCGGTGGGCTCAGTGCAGACTCGAGAACGCTGTCGTCAGGGAAGAACATGTGGTCAAGCAAGTGCCTCTTCATGCTTAGCCGGCTTCTTTCGACAACCTTCTTTGTAGGTTATGAGATCCAACACTGTGTACAATTCTTTGTGTTTGGTGCTCGGACACACAAACTACAACAAGTGCAATCTTTTGAGAACCGCATACGGATCTCGTGCAGCAGGACGTCTGTCCGACTCAGAAGGCGATATGTGATGTTTTGTTTTAATTCTGGATGCACTGCTTCTGTTGCAGCCTGTAGGGCTACGTTGAAATGTGTAGCAGTTGCTGAGGCAACATAACAACTTCAACGCTTTGTTCTGAAGGATGTTTTGGCGCATGTGCCGGCAGGGCCAAGCAATAGTAGCTGCACTTCCCACTGAGGTCTCCCATATATGGCCCAGTTTCCACATCATTTTCAATCAGCTTTTACAATTTGATTCTCCAATGCTCTACGGCATATCCCTTAGCCTAAGCCCTAAGCCCTGGATCACTTTCCAGAAGAGATCGGCCTCGCGCAGGGGGCGCCCTGGATGAGCAGGGCTTGCGTGTGGAAGGCCTCGTGGAGCTCTCGCACCGGCAAAAGTTGGGAATCCGCGAGGAGGCCCAACTCGCTGGCTAGGTTTAGGGTTTAGGGCTTAGGGTGTAGGATTTAGGGTTTAGGGTTTAGGGCTTAGGGTTTACAAAGTTTAGGGTTTAGGGTTTATCACGGATATTATACCCGAATAATGGAGAATCAGATGGAAAAGAAAATGGAGCATGAAATGGATACAGGAGTTTAGGGTTTAGGGTAGGTGCCGCAATGTAATCTATAATCCAAAAGGGCCAATAATTTGGAGAACAATCCCAATGTTGCCCAAGTGTTGAGAGGTTTATGGGGTTCTGATAGAGGCCGGCCATAGCATCGCCAAGACAAAACCTACGGGGAAGATTGAGAGGAGTCCTTGTGCGCCAAAGGGCCCTAAACTCTAAACCCTAAACCCCAAAGCAGGGAAGCGCTTCCAAGGCTCACAGCACCTCCCCTCGCGCATACTGCTTGGAGGGTCAGGGGGACTTAGTAAAGGGTTTAGGGTTTAGGNNNNGAAAAGAAAATGGAAACCACTACTATAGGGTTTAGGGTATGGGGTTTAGGGTTTAGGGTCAGGGGGACTTGGTAAGTAGGTTAATAATTAGGATCACTAGGGTTACTAGATGGGTTATAGGGGTTATGAACCTACTTACTACGTCCCCCTGACCCTCCAAGTGGTCTCTAGCATTGCCATTCATAGCACCCTAAACCCTAAACCCTAAACCCCTAAACCCTAAACCCTAAACCCTAAACCCTAAAGTCTAGAATTCGGGGCCCAGGAGGTTGATTCTGCAACCTCCTCAGTGATGACCTTCTTTGATAAGCACACGTGAAATGGAGGCAGTTGGACAAACCAGGATGCAGAAGCTTGTTGAGACAACAAGTGCGCAAAGCCATGACGGGCATCCCCAGAGCTTGAATGGGTTTAGGGTTTAGGGTTTTAGGGTTTAGGCTTCAAGCATCAAGAAGATGCGTTGTCAGATGCTCCGGCCTCAGTCCGTGACTCAAAAGGGTTTAGGGTTTAGGATGGGAAGTTCTATTCCTTCATCCACCCTTGAACTGGGACCCAACTGACACCCCTACAGGACCTCGTCAAAGAGCTCGTCCAGCGCGTGTCTGAGCTGATCCGAGCAGAGCAGTGCATGGAGCGCGGGATGACGGTGGAGGCTTGGATCCAGATCTCAAGGGTTTAGGGTTTTAGGGTTTAGGGTTGGATCCAGATCTCAAGGATTTCAGGCTTGTACCCCCAGGGTTGTAACCCTGGGTTTTGGGATCCTTTTCGGGGACCCTAGGCAACTACATTGGCTTTATAATTGCAATGTTAAGGCCATATTGGGGAAGATCGGTTTGTCTGAAGATGATGGTCTACAGTAGCCTTCTTTACAGGTACGCGGCGCGTAAAATTTAGGGCTTGCAAAATGGGGGCCTGATATTGGAAACTCCCTACATGGCGCACTCCGCAGTCTGGCTTGGAGTTGAGTTGTGGTGCAGTCATAATATCTGCATAGAAGGTGCTTGTCCTGGCTTTGGGATTTACGAGGCAGAGCATGAACCCGAAGCCCTAAGCTCTAAACCCGAGGCCCCATGAGTTCTCCACCCTGAACCACTTCTCAGCATATTAAGAACCAGTCTTCTTATTAGAATTCAGAATAAATAATAAAATAAATAGATGTATACATATATATATATATCTTCTTATATTTTTTACTTTTTATTCATATCGTTGTTGTTATGGGTTCTTTCTTCGCAGACTTCTCTGCAGAGGCAGCCTTCGATGCCGTTGTGCCGCGGGAGCTGACTCCAATAGGCGCCCCATCAGGGAAAAAATGGAGAAGAAAGCGGACCTTACGACTTCATGGGGAGTTTGCATAAGGCTACCATGGGAAGATTTAGGGGTTATTACCCCACAAAATGGAGAATCACATGGACGAACCCATGAAACATGAAATGCAAGCTGGGGTCATATGAGCTATAGTCTGAACTCCTAATATCCCCATTAGTAGCCCTGTAGTAGTCCCCTCTATAATCCCCCATATAGCCTCCTTTACGGAGTTTAGACTCTAGGTCATAAAGGGACAGGCTTCGCAGTTGCACATTCTTGCGGCATAGTCTCTCCACCATGGGCTTGCCTCCAGTGGCCCTTTTTCATGGGGCTGAGTTGTTTGGGGTGGAGAACAGGGGAACTGCAAGTGTTGGGAGTGAGTCTCTGCAGCCCACTTTCTAGGTTATAGTCCCCCTTAAGTAGATAGAATATGGCGCATATGGGGATCTTATTGTGATCTTGGGTCATTCCATATTCGATCTGCTTAAGGGGGACTATAACTTTGGGTGATGGCGGGCCTGGGTTGCTCGCCAGCTGCAGCTGCAGAAATCCGACTTCAGTTCATTCACAACATCAGTCAGTTTGAAGGATGAGCCTGAAACCCGGACTCCAAGCACTCATCCTGAAAGTGCGGCCGAGTTTCACTTGCTGTACTGGCTACATGGATGTGAGCTGTGACTGCATCAGGTGCTGATGATCAGGACACGGGTTTCAGAATTTCTGCTGTAGCTTACCAGAATGAGGCGCACGTTTTCTTGAGATTTTTATGACTACCATGATTTGATGTACCTTGTGTTACAATTGCATGATGGCACAAGTTGCTTGCGCAGCACTTCAGCGGGCATGAGGCAGGACCCTCCCTTCGAAGTCAGGTAATTCTGTTGCAGCCCTACTTTGTTTAACAGCATCTTCTAAGACATTATTATTCTTATATGATGATTTGAACTCAGAGCATTTCATGGTTGTTTAACCCCCAAAGTCTATAATAGATTGGGATAATCGAAAAGAAAATGGAAACTACTATAGTATATAGGGTTATAGGGGTGATCCCTAAACCCTAAACCCTAAACCTAAACCCTATGATACCTGAGGAGTATCAGGCGGTTGATGCCTGGGCACATGCTGGAGATCAGCTCGGCGCCGCCTGGCAGAGAAGCTGATGTTTGGCCATTGGTCGAATCCTCCAGCTATGGTTGAGGGTTTAGGGCTTAGGGTTTAGGCTTTAGAGTTTAGGGTCTAGGGTTTAGGTTTAGGGGTGCCAGAATTTACCAAAAAACTATAACGCCCCAGTTTGCATTTACTTTTCCATTTGATGCACGCTGTTCTGATTTAACGGGTCCCTATGGTAGCGGCCTCAATAATCAAGATACAGGTTTCTGGGGCACAGCTGGAACTACATATGGACTACGAGCGGTTAATGATTCTACGGGCATGCGGTCTGTTTTGCCTCTTGCAGTAAGACCCTTTTGGGGCGGAGTAACCAAGGGTTCATTGTGACCAGCTCAATCATCATAGAAAACTCGGTGTGTTCGTAAACCGGCTTCTGCCCATATTAAAGCCTGAAGTCGCCATCCAAAGGATCTCTCCCTGCATATCCCACTGAAATCCGTATTGTGATTAGTTCAGCTCCGACATTATCAGCCGCTCCCGCAGGAACTGCTGAAGGGCTTCGTGACGGAGGCTAGCCTCGAAGAAGTGAAGGCAGGGGAGGGGGGGGTTTAGGTTTAGGGTTTAGGGTCTACTCCATACCGATTCCAAGGAAAGTGGCGATTTGATGGGATTATAGGGTGTTATATAGGGCCATCGTAGGGTTGTAGAGGGTCACATAGGCTTACCATGGTTTACCATGAGTCCTATAAACCCCCAACCCTAAACCCTTAAACCCTGAACCCCACACCCTAAAGCCCTGGACCTCAATTTGGGTGCTGTCAGGTCCGCCTCGGTCAGGCGCTGCTGGCTTCCTCGCTCTCGGGGTCTCCTTGAGAAAGTGTTGGTCAAAGAGGAGGTTTAGGGTTTAGGGCCTAGTTTGAGGTTCAGGTCTTACAGGGTTTACAGGGCTTTATGGGGTTTAGAGGGTTGAGTGTGTATGGGGTTTGGAGTCTAGACGGTTTGGGATTTTGAGTTTTGGACTTTTTTTTCCCCACCCTGCAGTGGGGTTGTTAGATTTTAAAGTAGATGTTGTCCTCGCCCGAGTGACCAACCACCAAGTATCCCTGCAGTGCCCATCCGCAGAGTATCCCTGCAGTGCCCAACCACCAAGTACTGTATCCCTGCAGTGCCCAACCACCAAGTATCCCTGCAGTGCCCAACCGCAGAGTATCCCTGCAGTGCCCAGCCGCAGAGTATCCTTGCACTGCCCAACCGCAAAGTATCCCTGCAGTGCTCAACCACTAAGTATCCTCGCAGTGCCCAACTGCAAAGTATCCCTGCAGTGCCCAACTACAAACAATCCTGCAGTGCCCAACTGCAGAGTATCCCTGCAGTGTCCAACCACCAAATATCCCTGCAGGGCCCAACCGAATCCCTGCAGTGCCCAACCGCCTTGTATCCCTGGGGTGCCCAGCAGCAGAGTATCAATATTCTCGCAGCGCATTTGCAGTGCTGCAAGGAAGACAGTTGAGGAGGGGCAGGGAAACGTAACACTTCTTTGTCGATAACGAAGTAAATAATTAAGTTCCGGGTATCAGGGGTTGTGGGGCTTAGGGTAGCATGGTGTTGGGTGCAGTGGATGGGGCCATCTGCCACCCTCAGCTCAAGGCCTTCACGTGGCACCTGATTCAACAAGGATCAGGACAAGCTTTTCATCAAAAGAACGCTTATACACAACTTGAAATCAAAGGATGATTTTTCAAATAAGCCTGTGCAGCCTTCTTAAGGCTTGATCTTGGTATGAATCAGGAAGGTGACTTCTCAGATGCCATACCTTGAACACTGCCTCTAAGAAAACTTTTTGTATTGGGTGCCTGTTTAAGATGGGGGGGGGGTCGGTAGTGGCCCTGAACCCGGTACGCCACACCCTAAAGTTCCCATCTAATGCTAGGGGGAAGGGATGACTGCAACAGCAGCCCAGGTCTCTGCAGATGGCCAAGGCATCCCTGAAGGACGGCGTGGTGGCTGCTCAAATTAGGGTTTACGGTTTGGGGTTTAGGGACCCTTTTGAGGGTTAGAGGTGGCAGGGGGGCCCCTACTGGAGAAAAGATAGGTCATGGGGTTTAGAGATTATAGTTCCCCTGAAGTAGATAAGATATGGCTTTGGATATATTATAATAAGAGCCCCACATACTCCATATTCTATCTACTCAAGGGGGATAACCCTAAACCCTAAACCCTAAACCCCAAACCCCAAAGGTATAAGTTTGGGGACTCTGTGGGTTGAATGCCGGCGGGGGGTTCATGGTACCGCAGGGCGCGGATTTGAAGAAGGGGATGACATAGGCATGGCCGTAGGCATTCTGAGGACCTGCTGTATAGGGCGTAGGGCTCATGAAAACATTGTAGAGATGCAGTCCTCCTTCACGAATCGCTGATGCTATCAAGCCTGATACCACTCAAAAAAATGAGTGTTACTCTCTTCACGGATGACGTTTTTGAGCGTTCTGCACGCTTATAGCCTGCAGATATCGCAAGCCATATTTTGGTGAAGGCTGTTGAGACGCCGTTCGAGCTCCTGCCTTCCGTCGGCAACTTGATGCTCCCGCTGCCGGAGGAGAGTGCATCCCCCTGCAAGCCAGTTGAGGCTGGCGACTCCTTTGTCCTTAGTTGTTTGCAAGATTCCGCCATACCTACCTGGGCACCAGAGTGACATGCCGTTGTGCTGACAGGCTGCACCAATTCCATTCAAGTACCTTCCATCTGTCGGCAGCCTGCTGCTGCCCTTGCCACTGCCATTGCGCAATCTGGAGGACAAAATTTGTTTCACGGGGTCATGTTCTTGTGGCAGTTAGTGCCCCTTGACCGAATTTTCTGGGATGATTGTCAGTATCCATTTCTGTTCTTGGGGCTTTCAGTGAACTGCCAGCAGTGTTCTCCTCAGATAAGCTTCCAAGTTCATTCTGCTTTAAGTCGTGTTCTATGTGTGAAGTATTGTCAGCTTCGGTCTAGCGATCGTTCAAGCTTTAGAACCGGCAAGTGCCATCTTCCATCCTTCACGTCCCTTTACTCTACGCAAACGGAGCAGGCGAGACTCTGAAACCTTTTCTTTGCAGCCAACATCTTTCTCACATATCGTCGCTATTGTTGCCATTTACTTTCTTGAAGTTCTTGAAGCTGGCGCTGTGTTCTTTGCCGGGTAGCCGCTCTCCCCAAACATGCTCCAAGTCCGCAGGAGGAGGAGCTTGCAAAGCAAAAGGCAGAAGCTGCCGCCCGAATCCAGGCAGGATTCTGCCCCTCACGGGGTGCCGTGTTGCTTCATTCCGAATAGCAAATTGTACATTCTGGCACGGTGAGACTGACAAGGCTGTTTTCATGACAGGATGTAAAGCGTCAAACAGCACATGCAGTCCGGTGGTTGAAGTCAGCGCGGAAAAGCAAGGATGTATCCAAATTCCTTATGTCCATGCACGCGTAGACACAAGTGGGCAAACATTGGCTCACTCAAGTCTGCGCAACCTGCACGCCTAGCCTTTTTCTTCTTGCTGCTCGCCAGCCTCTTCCATTTTGAAGATAGCGCTGCGCAGCTCTTCTCCGTCCTTTCCAGCGCGTATACGATCTGGCTGGCAGGGGCTCTCGAAGGTTTGACGTTGAGGTGTGAGAGATTTTCCGGCTTTGACTTCTACGTGCTCAGCCTTGATCTCAACGAGCTTCGCTGTGGCGGACGGTCAGGCTTGGGCGTCTCAAGCATGCAACGATGCTGAGACTTGACCTGCACGAGCTCCTCCCTATCATGCAAGGCGCGCTGTCTTCTCTTGATGTCGTGCCGCAATTGTCCAGCAGTGTCGGCTTCGGCGCCTCAGGCGGCGCTGGGTGACAGGGTCACCGAATCAACTGGCTAAAAACAAAAATGTAGGCAGGACCTCCATCACTTTCAACGCAGGATCCAAGTCATGAATTGTTCTGCTTGGGTTGGGTTTCTTAGGACAGCCAACTATGTTTGCCTGGCTGCTGGCTGCTCCGCATGAGGAGGAAATTCAGGGTGAGGTGGGTTGTCAGCGCGAGAATGAGGTGTGTCGGGAGATGATGAGAGGAAGATGCAGGGTGTCGACGCCCGTTTTTGCTTCACCACCGCTGCACCTCAAAGAAATCGATCTCGCCTTTGGCGTTTCAACGGCGAACTCGAACTCAACCGAAATTGACGCGGTCCAGCTTCTTCCTTTGATGGCCCTAATTCACTTCCTGGACTTGGATTTGATGCCTGCTAGATATCCCGTATGAGGAGGAGGACAACATGTTCTAGAAGTCGAGCTGAATAAGAGCCGCTGCATGGATGCAACTCTGAGTCTACAGGCCTGTGTACAGACAAAGAAACAACACAGGCCAAAGAGATGCGAAAACTCAGCTATCCAGCAGGCTCACCTTGGAACATCTCAACGCCGCAGGCCCAAAGCACAGACCTTCTGCCGAAAGTGGGCGTAATTGTCTAGTTTTCATGTGTACCCCCATTCCTCACCCTGTGAGCCTCGACCTGATTTCCAAATTTCCATTTTTTCTGCCGGCGCTCGTCAGGCAATCCAGCGTGGTCGTGCGCAGAGGGCAGAAGCAAAGGCAAAGGCCCAGGCAAAAGCATCTGGGCCAGAAATCCCCTCGCCCGAATTATAACCCCCACGCCCTATCGATGAACACACCTAATGCGGCTTCATATTACATGTATAAATCATTTTCAAATTGCAAAATGCTGTACTGTACCAAACAAAGCTCCGTAAGTGGGGGAGGGGGTACCATATGTACATATATATATATATACACACATGTATTCTTAGGGTTGGGGGGGAGTTATTCATAGACGGAGGAGACGGGTGAGTTGAGTTAGGCGCTGTAAGAAATTCATGCTCAACCGTGAGGGTTTTGGTTAGAGCGGAGACCTCACAAGGATCCGATCATGCAAGCTAAAGCTTACTTTTGAGATTAAAATCCTATAGAACCGTATCTATACTGAAATCTATACTTCTCAAGCAATGACCTGCTTGGGGCCACGCAGGTTCTCAAACCTCAGCCCCAAATCTTGCAACAATCTGAAATCTTAACCCCAAACACCAAGGTCTGGACCCCACATCTTGCGCAAGTGCCAAGCCTCTGAAGGAGCAACTATAAGAAACCCATGTTCATGAATTATCTGGGTAAGTTTGACTGTAGCTCGAATCCCAAACTGTAGGAAACCCTAAACCCTGTATGACCCTTATTTAACCCGTACATAACCCTTGCATAACCTCTATATAACCCTTATATAGCCCCTATATAACCCGTATATACCACTGCCAGCGGTAGCAGCCCAGGCAAAAGCCAAGGCAAAGGCGCCGAGTCAGGAGGTTCTTGGGGTTCCGTCGATTTGAGGGCTCTTGGGTAGATTCAAGCAGGGTTTAGTGTTTGGGTTGGCGGTTCAGGGTTTAGGGTCTAGGGCTCCGGGTTTGCGGTTTAGGGTTCAGGGTTTAGGGTTGGAGGGGGATCTAGGGTTTGGGATGGGCTTGTATGAGGGTTATGTAGGGGCTCTGTAGGTGTATAGGGGGTTGCACAGGGATGATTAGGGGGTTGCAAGGGATATGTTGGGTTTGGGGGTATGATGCTGGGGGCATCAAAGGGAACATGAAACAGAAGCTGGGTTGTATAGAGGTTCATAAGGTCTTGAATATAGAGAAGTTTGTGCTACTAAGATTCCAACCTTTTTAACGACACGCATGATGTGCCCCCAAGTCATCTTCTCATTATTTCGTGCCTTGCAGTAGATCCCAAGAAGCCCCACATAGGTCACACCCTCTAGTAAGCTTGGTGTCCCTTTGTTTAATGCCCTGGGCAGGAGTCTTTCAGGAGGGTTCCAGGAATGTATCCAGGTTGATGTCAGCCCAAACCCAAATCTTGTAAGCCCACCTGAGCCAAGCAAAGATGCTTAAACCCAAGCCCAAATGTGCCCTGAGCCCCAGCCCCAGGAAGAACAGATACTTACACTCCCCCAAAGTAACATGGAAACCCATATAGCCCCCTTTTAGAAGGACTGTAGTCTTTATAGAGCCCTTTTTGGGTTTCCATGTTAGTTTCCGGGAGTGTAAACCCAAGCGCTGCAGACCCTGTTTTGCTCCGTGAGAGGAGATGGAGCAGAGGAAGGCTTTGCTGCGCAATGCCTTGGAAGGCGCGCTGGAGGACCGCCCCATGGCTCGGGTGGCTCCATCAGCGGCCTAGGATGACTTACTGAGTGTTTAGGGTTTAGGGTTTAGAGTTTAGGGTTTAGGGTTTAGGGTTTAGAGTTTAGGGTTTAGGGTTTAGGGATTATTAGTAGGGAATATGGAAATATACTTTATGCGGATTATATAGGGATTCTGTTCCCTTGTTCTCTACTAACATCCAGCAAGATTAGGTTCTGGAGCAACTGAGGGTCTAGGAGGTTGCCTTCAGTTCGCCCACAGTGATACAGATGAGCATCCTGGATACTGGCATGCGTACTGCCATGTGAAGTAGGTTTTTAATCATGGTTTTTGGTGAGTGTATACGGGGTTCCTGCGGAAAATAGGTCAGTGCATATATTAGGTGTGCATTGGGGAAACCGTACCTGCATTGAAGCCACAGGTCATGTGGAGGATCGCTTGGATCTTATACGGGGTTACTGAAAAAACCTGAACCTTGAGTACCGCCCCCGCTTACTAACAGTTGGATAATATTTATAGTGTAATTGTGTATAGCAGTTAATATGCCCCCTATTATAGACTGTTAGTGGGTGGGGGCAGGCCACCCCCTAAAATCTAAACTCTAAACCCCTAAGCTGGGCGTCTTCACCAGGACGGCACCTTGGAGAGAGTCCTGTCCGAGGCATCAGTTGCACACTCATAGGGCAGGGCAACACGAATTAGTCCCCTCACCTAGGGGTTTAGGATTTAGGATTTAGGGATTAGGGTTTAGGATTGAGGTTTTAGGGTTTAGGATTTAGGGTTTAGGGTTTAGGATTAAGGGTTTAGGGTTTAGGATTTAGGGTTTGCCCGGGGCCGAGTATCCATGCGCCGATGGCGCCACCCCACTTCCAGGGATCTGTGGGTGGCGGCACGTCCCACGCCCAGTGAACCTCTTGGATATGGGCCAAGAAGCCATCGAGACTGGGCTTTCTTCAAAATCACCCACCCGCTGTGCACAGGCTACCACCCAAATTACTTCCTGTTAGGGTTTAGGGCTACGCCCTCAATTCAGGCAGTCGATGAATCCCAAAACTTCGTTGTGTCAACGTCTGCAGGGGAGACCCTTGGGGCTGATGAGCAGGCCTCCAGGGAGCCTCCAGTCCAGGGAGTTTTAAGGGGGCGTGTAGGTTTCAGAAGAGGGTTGCAGGAACCTTGCAAGGAGTTTTTGGAGGCCTAGCCCAGGCACCTCGGCCAGAAACCCTCCAGCCAGGGCCTCCAAACCAGGCCAGCAGCCCTCCAGACCAGGAGGCCTCCAGGCCCGGGGCAGACTTGAGGGCCCCTCAAAGGTCACCGAAAACATGGGTGCGTCCTTGTGAGACTGGGGTGGCTGGAGGCAGAGCTGGGCCTCCCGATGTACGGAAGGGCTCTACACGTCCATTCTCCAAAGGCTCCTCCCATTGTTTTACCCAGTATGGGTGTTTAGGCT